ATATATATGTGTGTGTGTGTGTGTGTGTGTGTGTGTGTGTGTGTGTGTGTGTGTGTGTGAATGAATGAATGATCAAGAAAAATCTTTTTACCTCATGTGTGGAATAGCCTATTTCGGCAGACAATGAAAGTCGTCGTCTCTGTTTTCAACCCCGGATTATATATATATATATATATATATATATATATATATATATATATATATATATATGAAAGTGAATATTCAACATTCAGAGGTAGCAGACTGTTTCATGCTAAACGCAATCAGACCTGGTGATTGCGTTTGGCATGAAACAGTCTGTCGCCTCTCAGTGTTGACTTCAATGTTCACTTTTATATTTACAACGCACATTCTATAATATTGGGCACTTTATCCCACAAATATAGCATATCTTATAACTATATTTCTCCATATATATATATATATATATATATATATATATATATATATGTGTGTGTGTGTGTGTGTGTGTGTGTATGTGTGTAAAGGGGCTGGTGTGTGTGTGTGTGTGTGTGCGTGTGTATATACAGATAGAGGTAGAAAGTGAACAGTTAAATAAATGCAACATTGTGTTTGTTACTTTCAAGAATCGAGCTTCAGACTCCTTTAATCCATAACATATCTTATAAAAGTACAAGTATGCTGTATACTGTAATTGCTTTTAAACTACAGTAAGAAACACAGAGGAACTTAATCCCGATCAGTCAATACAATTATATATGAATAAAAAGGAAAGAGGAAAAACTATTCCTAGCCGACACGTTTCTCTCCTCTGAGGGACTTTATCAAGTAAAATACAAGGATTTATTTTGTTGCACGTGTTTATATACAACAGTAAGTATATCATTTGTCTATCAAGGATTTTAAATTTGATGACGTTCATGAATATTAATCAAGTGGTTGAAAGGTCACTCAAAACATGTGGAGGACACAAAGTGCCATAATTCAGTCAGGTAAAACAAAAAGTAAGCGAGTAATATTCAAGAAATATATATATATACCAATCATAATTTTACACAAACCCCACCACACGTATATAGATACATGCGAGGAAATATTATTTAGCGGAAAAATAAATAATATGACATGTATATATTCACGAGACATTCACGAGACATTTCCGCTACACTTCCAATCTTTAAATTTCAACATTTCAACATACAAATGCGTATGCATAGACACAACACCACCCGTATACATACATATGTCATATCCGAAACTGCCCACATATGTTTATATATGTATGAGTCCCGACGGACGGCCAAGTATGTATATGTGTCTGCATACATCGATGTTTGCGTTAGTACGATGACATAAGCGACGAAATTTCCCCCACCACTTCCACAATAACACCAATACACGCAATCTACATAAATCTATTTTTTTTTTAAATTAACCAGTTTGTCTGACGATCGTGAAACCCAGGGTCACAAACTCACATCTATCCAACCATATATATATATATATATATATATATATATCACATATCTTTATATCAAAATAAAGAGAAAGAGCAGTCAGATTCCTAATCCACAATTTTTAGCATTTATTTTTAAAAAGCGCTCAATACAAAGTAGAGCATAATATTATTATTATTATTACTATTTAAAAATATTTTTCCATCGTGACACTGAAATTTCAAGGTTTCGAAACTTAAAACGATTTTCAGTAACTTCAGAAAAAGTGCTTCCTTTTTATTTTATCTTAAACGCTTTAGTGTTGATAAACCCCGCAAGATTAATTTCTTGCGAGTTGAAATGGCCATACAGATGGGGGATTTTTGAGTTTCATTTATATAGAATTTATTTATATATGCTCTGTAATAAATACCTTGAGCTCTCTTTGTGATAAGTTTTACTATTTTTTTATTATTAGGATTCACTTGGCTTGCTTACTCATGGATTTTACACACACACACACACACACACACACACACACACACACATATATATATATATATATATATATATATATATATATATATATATATATATATATATATCAAATCAAATATTTGTCCAAGGCACCACTCAAACACGGAAAAAAATTCAACTAAAATTATGGTCTAAAAATTAATTAGTTTCACGTGTATTCAACTTATATATATATATATTCAACATATATATGCTTATATATATGAGTGAACTCATCCCACAATCCTCCCTCCATGGGCCGGCTCCTTTGCAAAGCACTTGCCGGTTTTAAGCGCCACTTAAGATTATCACGCAAAATAAAAGTCAATTGGTTGTCAGATCCTCATACGTCGAAACCGACATGAGAGTCCTTTATATATATATATATATATATATATATGTGTGTGTGTGTGTGTGTGTGTGTGTGTGTATCAGACATTGTCTTTCTTAGCTTTTCGCACGTTGAAACATGATTAACCAATGAAAATCAAACAAATTAAAATTATCAGCATTTCTTCTGTCGTTTTCTCCACATTCTCTGAATGACGTTTTAATTAAAGAGCGAAACACATCAGATTGATAAACGTTTAGATAGATAGATAGATAGATAGATATGTACGAAATAAGATAGAAATGAGAAAAATCAGATAGATAGATAGATAGATAGATAGATAGATAGATAGATAGATTTGTATGTGTACATATGTAGTGTGTATCAGATAGATAGATAGATATGAACAGAATGAGTCAGAAAGATTTGTATATATACGTATATAGTATGTATCATACATAATAAACTATAATGGAACAATGGCTTTAGTGTTGGTGCTAGTTATTGTTTTTCATTTCTTGATAACCACTCTTTTTCGTTTTCTGTTTTATTTCAAGATCCCTGTTTCATCGTCCGTAACAACGCTACACAAAATGGCTATCCTTCCAAGTTGAAAAGGCTGCTGCTGATGGTGGAACGTTGTATTCGGCTCTCAAGCCAAAGTTCATGAAGAACCTAGATTCCCCCTTTGCAAGTTTTTCCCAATTCTCTTGAGATGTTCATGGACAGCTGAACATAATCCATTAAATAAATATCAGATCCTTTGACGTTGATGCAATCCAGCCGCCTCTTTCATAAGTTTTTCATGTTCGGATGTGTCATAATAACTCTTTTTAGACCTTTTAAAACACTGCTACTATATGCGAGCCTCCACTGCATCCGTATACACCGAACGAATGTTTGTTAATGTTTTCTGTGACAGCACTCAGCTTTCGGAATTTATATAGTGAGTAATTGTTTCTTTTAGAAATTATAACTTTCCACAGGGATGGACAATACAAGCGACATATTGTCTGAGGGGAAAAGAGTAAAAGCTAGGTTCAGTTTCCTACCATTCAATTTTGTCTCTGCCTTTGTTGGTGGACTCATAATTTGTTGAAGTGAAACGTCTAATTTACAACCAAGCATTATAAGCTATTTCTTAAAGTCATTTTTGTTGTCTTCGAAAAGCTTATCACCAATATTTGTTAATCTCATTAGCTGTCTTTATATTTATTCTTGATCTTTTTTTTTTTTAGTTCTAATTCTCTTAACACTCGCTTTGTTTTCAAAAGAGCCCTCGTCAAAAGGTTATTGACTGATTTAATATTGGATTTTCGCCTCCTTTTTTAGTGTCTGGCTCTTTACTTTTTTTTTTTTTTTTTTTTTTTTTTTAAGATATTTTTGTTAGCTGTCTCAAGGATGTTAATTCCCCTCTCCAAGTTCTCCACTGCTTTAACCGAGTATTGAACTCACACTCTTTGGGTCCTGTTACTGGATCTAACTAACGCCTTTATCAAATGTGCTATGTGTCCTTAAACGTGCCACGTGGAACTAGAACAGTCTACCTCAGCGAGCGAAATAAAGGGTTTAGTTCGACATTCCAACTACCTGAAGATGGCCGGAGCGTACAACGCCCGAAACGTTATGTTAAATATGGCGACAAAGATGAGGCTGATAGTCCGAACAATGGAGATATTTTTGTTGTCAGACACACTGTCATTGTCTTTTCCCTTTCCATTTTCTCATCTCCGAAATCCACCAGCATTAAACAAAAAAGAGAAAAGAAAATGTCGAAGCCAAATTTTTCCCCGACCTTTAGATTCGACATCGTTTTGAACCATTCCTGGCGGCAACAATCGAATGCATATTTGATGAGAAAAATGCTATGTTTTAGTGACACGATAAACATCGACATTATCATCTTTCGGCAACCTTCGTGCCAAAAGGATGATTTTCCACTGACACCGCTATTGTTTTAACTATTTTCACTCTTCGATAATGTTCATTGCTTTAAAAAGCGATGATTAAAATTGTAATTAAACATTCAGCTTCAGATATACGGTATTACAGGATGATTATTTGACTAAATACACTGATTCGTATCAAACCGTGAAATGAACGTCATCCTAAACGGGTTCTCCACCAGCTCCTTTATCACGAATACTGGTGTTCCCCAAGGCTCTATCTTGGGCCCTACACTGTTCCTGATCGTCATAAATGACCCTCTCGATGTCATCAGTTCCCAAGTAGGTATCTACGCGGACGACATTACTATTTACTCAATAGTAAATTTGGTATCGTTAACAAAACTAACCTGGCCACCGATCTCAAAAAGACCTCCAATCGGTTGTTGACTGGGGTAGGAAATGGCTTGTAAACTTTAATGTCTCCAAAATGAAATTTCTCTACTTTACCTAGCACAGGGAACCCTCCCTGCCTCCCATCAGAATGGCTGATGCCCAACTCCTCGAGAGCGACTCGTTGCGCCTGCTTGGTCTCACGTTGTCCGCTGACATGTGGTGGAAAAATACATTGAATCAATAGCTTCATCTACCCGCAAGGAAAGTTGGTTCTCTGTGTCGTGCCAGAAAGTTTTTCGCGTCTGAGTCCATCCTTCAAATCTATAAATCAACCATTTGTCCTTGCATGGAATATTGCTGTCGTATATGGTCTGGTGCTTGACTAAATCCAGAGACGAATATGCAAGATGATAGGTCCTGATCTGGCATCTCGTCTACAGTCGCTTTCTCACAGACGTGCCGTGGCTTCCCTCTGTCTCTTCTATAAGTATTTTCACGGCAACTGTTCCGATGAGTTGCTTTCTCTAGTTTCCAGATTGCATGAATTTAAGCGAGCTACTTGACTGGCATCTTCGTCCCACCCTTTCACTGTCGAAACGGTGAAATGTAACCATCTCTTCTACTCAAACAGCTTCTTCTCTCGCACTTCTAATCTGGGGAATCTCCCTTCCTCTTGTTTACTTCCCTGATAACTATAATCTTCAAATATTCTAGTGTAATGTCAATCAAGATCTTTCTGATGCCTTGATTTTGCACTACGTCCTTCTCTTTATCATTTCCTCAAACATGCCTCTTTACTCTTGTTCTCAATCCTCTGTAACCCCTTGCATGCTAGTGGCACTCTTGCTTGGAGTGAATTCCTTTAAAAAAAATAAAAAATAAAAACCAAAACATATGAAAGTGAATTTATACATTTTTTGTTCTTGAAAATTTACAATAAAAATGTTAAATACTATTTATTAAATTGCTTATTTACAATTGTTTTAATTACAAAAATAATTTTATATTTACAAAATTCTAAAAACTAATACAATTAAAATTGATGCAATGAAATATTTATCAATAATCATTTTAAGAAATAAATATGAAAACAATTTTTATTCATAAATTTGTAAGCAAATCCTTATTATTTACCATTTTATAAAGTTCGAATCAATTGACAATTTGCCGATGTTTTGTCAACCATTAGAATAAATAATATAATAGTGTAAATAAACAATCAAAGAAATAAATAATGTTTATTATTGCTGCTGGCAATTCTCCAGAACAAAGAAAATGTATAAATTCACTTTCATATGTTTAGATTTTATTAAAATTCTAATCATCCCGACGACAATAAACATTGCCGAGGGGGTGAAAGCAGTTAAAATAATAGCGGTGTATATGGAAAAGCCGTTCTTTTGACAGTCCATTTTGTTTTTCTCTCATCTTTTTGTTATATCGCTTAGCACATCAAATCCGTTCCTGACAAATATTTAAAATGAGTTCGACGGAAAAACTGAGCTGTTCTTTTATTTAATTTTAAAAGCCGTATGCAAATCTACTTAACCAAAAACATGTTCGTTTATTTTCAAAAACGTTCAAAATTTTCATTGAAAAGTTAACTGACATTTCGTAACTTGACAATTCCCATACAAACCTATGCTTTTACACGAAATAAATTTGCATTTTCTTTGCGTAAACAGCTTATAAATATCCTGTATAGATAAATTATGTAAACAGAAGCGATGGATGGTTTGATGCTGGTTTAAAATGAACGTTATTAATTTTATTTGCCGGTAATGATTCTCACTTAATTAAATTTAATAAACGTAGAATCATTGACTGTTTTTTCGCAAAATATCAATTCCTAAAACTATCTAAAAAGAAAAAAAAAGGACGAGAGAAATAACTATTCTCTTCACAATGCCGTGTATTTCAGACACAGGTAAATAGCAGTCTAAAGCAGACTTAAAGAATTAAAAAAAATAATAAAGTGTTATACTATTCGCAAAAAAATTAGTCACTGACCAAGAGAAAATTAATAAGCGAAAAAATCAAGCAAATATTCCAATGGTGGAATGATTTCTTCATGAACGTTAGTGACCATAGCTCTCTACAACTGTGATTTGTAGCTCTTAGGAAATTTTGTATTTTTCCTATCTTTCCTAAATCCAGTTCTGCCAATCATTTATACAAGCTCGTTAGGTAGGTCTATGGGCTGTTCTCTTACAGTCAACAGTCTTTTACTGCAGACAAAAACATAATAAGATAATGTTTCTGACAATGCCTTGCCTGGCATAACGTCACGTGTGCATTTTAACCAATCACTAACAGATTCAAGCCGATATTAATCGTCTGCAAGACAAACTTCACAAATCCTGCTCCTCGGCAAAACAGCAAATTCTCTTTCTCCATTAAACCAAAATCAGTTCTTTCCTTAATTGTTAATCTAATATTTATACAATGCAGTCTACGTCCCTGTTACAAGTATCACTCATAATACAATAATTCCGTTGAAGGTAGAATTGTTTCGATCGATTTGGTAGAGGGCGAAGTGCTTTGTTTCCGGAAATGTATTTCTAACATGGCGCGTTGAAATGGTCTCTGATCTCTGGTGAATGTGGAAGTCAGACGGATGGTTCCGTTCAAGCGCTGACTGGACAAACCCAGATTGAATGCCGGGAATGTTTTCATGTTTGGCGGAGAAGCAGATGAGTTTCAAAGTATGAATTTATTCTAAACCGGTCAAAAGTACGTCTGAGTAGGTAACAGGTAAAAATGAATAGAAAATCAGATAAGAACAAGAATAATAATAAAACAAAACGGCTAAAATGTCGGAAACTTTTTCTTGCAGAGGAATATTGAAAAGAGAGAAGCGTAAAAGGCAGACTATCTGGGCAAATAACGAAAGGATAAAGAACAGAAAGACGACTGAACAAAATAAAGAAATAAACGTAAAAAGAAACTATGGAGGAGGTGGAAAATGTGGACC